CTCTCTCTCTCTCTCTCTCTCTCCCTCCCTCCACAGGCAATACAGATAGGAAGTCTAGGGGAATAGATTTAGTTCTCCAATAATGAGTCTTCAAAATGCACTCTGCAGCTGAGTGAGGAGCTGCAAGAGGCAGTCAAGCTAACTCTGAGATGTCCGTTTGAAGGCTTACAGAGAAGAGCCTGATGAGATTATTTTATCTGAGGTGAAGCTGGGTGTTTCTTCCTGTTTTGACACCTCACGGCAGTGCAGACACTGAATAAAGAGCTGGATTGCTGTAGATGGATGCTAAACACAGTAAAGCACTCTTCACCCAACAAGCACTCATGCTGGAAATATAAACCCAACCATAAACCCATCATAATAAACACAAAGAAAGCTGTCAACATGAAGTGTTGCCGTAAATGTGACAAAATCATAAGTGGTCACCAGAAACGCATACCAGGTGTAAACAAAACGTGAACATTTACTCACCTTCAGGCCATCAAAGATGTAGATGAGCTGGCTTCTTCATCAGAACAGATTTTGAGAAATGTAGCATTACATCACTTGCTCACCAATAGATCCTCTGCAGTGAATGGGTGCCATCAGAATGAGAGACCAAACAGCTGATAAAAACATCATAATGATCCATAAGTAATCCACATGACTTCAGTCCATCAATTAAGATCTTGAGAAGCCAAAAGTGCATATTTGACTTATCTGAATCAGGAGAGAAATATGCATAGCTCAAGCATAATTTACAAGTGCAAAAGTTCTAAACAAATTTGTCGGTGGATTTTGATAACAGGGGATGGACTTTCACTGGAGGAAGGGTTATTATGGACTCATATTTTATCAAGAAGTGACGTTTAAAGTTAAAATGTCTTGATGGATTAGTTTTTTTAAAAACACAGCTTTTCGCTTCACAAGATGTTAATTGATGGACTGGTGTCATCTTGTGGAATATGGTGATGTTTTTACCAGCTGTTTGAACTCTCATTCTGATGGCACCCATTCACTGCAGAGAATCCATGGATGAGAAGTGATGTACTGTAATACTACATTTTTCCAAACCTGTTTTGATGAAGAAACAAATTAATCTGCATGTTGAATGGCCTGAGGGTGAGTAAATATTCAGTACATTTTTATTTTTGGGTGAACAATTAATTTGTTTATTTTGGTTGGGAAACAGTTCATAGGTGAGAAATGCTTTTAGACAGTGTGAACGACCCACTTAATAATCATGATTTCTGAGTTGTTTAGATAAGTCATTCAAAAAGTAAAACAAGAGCAGTAGGTGCAGCTTGTGTGTAGATTAATCAAAAGTTTGGTTAATGTTGCTTTTGCCGTTAGTTGTCTTAAGGTGCGATTTGTTCATTTTGTTGGTGAAAAAGTAAATTTGTTCACAAGTAGGCTACATTTGTCACCCATTATTAATTAATTTTTGCAGGCAAGAGTGTCCAAGAATAAGGTGGCCAACAAGGTGGTCTTTTAGTCCAATTTTTGCAACAACAATGTATAAAATTTTTTATTTTTTTTAATTATAAACAATATATAAAGAAGAAACATGACAGCATATATAATCAGTTACAATGATTTTATTTCAGTTGGAAGAGTAAATAAAGTGGAGTAGCTCAGCAACGGGTGTTCATTTCATGAAGGTATGTCAGTACAACAGTTCAGTTGATTATTGTCACGATAAGGGGTTTTGTCTTGGTTCTCTCCGGACTCCATTCCCCATAAACCCCTGCCTAGGAACTCATTATTGCACCACACCTGTTTCCTATCAGTGACACTATAAAGGTTGCACTCATCCACACTCACATTGCTGATTATTGTTTAGCCTGTACCCTGTTCCGAGTCTCTGTGTTTCCTTGCCTTGCCTTCTTGTTTTTGACCTTGGACTGTTTATTGGATTGCTCTTTTGTCTCGCCCTGGATTGTACCTGTTTGCTGGTGTTTGACCCTGCCTGTTTTGACCACTCTTGTGAATAAAAGCTGCATTTGGATCCTCAACTCCGTTGTCACGCCTCCCGCGTTACAGAATAATCAGCCAACACCCGAACCCAGCAGCTTTATTAGTGTATCCAGGCCAGCCATGAATCCAGCAGCAAAAATAATTGGTCTCCGTCAAGGTGAGCGGTCTATTGAGGATTATGTGTTGAACTTTATTGAACTGGCCCATTTAACATCTGTGGACGAGATGTGCCTCATGATATTTTTTCGAGGAGGTCTAGCTGAGCCGCTCCAATCGATTATGCCACTGCACGATCCGAACTGAACACTGGAGTTTTACATAGATCTGGCACTTCAACTATGTTGCTCTGCATTTACTGTGGGTATTGTGGAGGAGGAACACGGCACTCCTGCAGTATCTCCCACTCCAGAGTCTCTTCCAAAGATTGCTGCCAGTCCAGAGAATGTTCACAAAATGGCTGCCGTTCCAGAGTCTCGTCCCATCATGGCCGCCATTCCAGAGTCTCGTCATGCCACAGCTGTCATCTCAGAGTCAAGTCACAGCCGATCTTCCTGTGTCGTCACGTTTCAGTTGATCTTCCAGAGTCACGTTATGTCTCAGCTGATTTCCCAGAGCCTTGTTATGTCTCAGCTGTTCGTCCAGAGTCAGGTCATATCGCAGTTGATCATCCAGAGTCTTCTCACACCGGGTCAACCATGACCATTGCTACGAGTCCAGTTCCAAGGTATACGAGACTGGCATCCAGTGTGTCAGATCCACCACTGGTCTCGGCTAGATCAGCAGGCATTCCAAGGGCCTCAGCACGGGTTATTCCAGAGACCATTCCCCTCCACTCAGTGCTCCTTGTAATGGGGGTCGCTATCCTTTGTGTTTGGGCAACTCACTGCTCAATTACTTCTCCTGAGGTTGTTCCAGCCCCTGAATCCGCTCACGAGGCCGCAACAGTTCCTGATCTCACTCCAGAACCTCCAGAGGTGACGGCACCTGCTGCAGAACCTCCAGAGGTGGTGGCACCCGCTGCAGAACCTCCAGAGGTGGCGGCGCTCATTTATGAACTCTCTGCCTGTCCTATCACGGCTATGGAGGCCGTATATGAACTCTCTGATTGTCCAGTCACGGCCAAGGAGGCCGTCTCGGAACTCTCTGCCTGCTCTACCATGCTGAATAAGCACTGTTTTGAACTTGTTGTCCCATCCAACCTCCTCCTCCTCTACCTGTCATGCTGTTTGTTCTGACTCCACTTTTGTCTGTCTGTCCCTCAGGTCATCCTTTGAGGGTGGTGAATGGTCAGGATTTGCCTTGGGACAGCAAGCCTCCAGCTACACCAAGCTTGGAGGATCCCAGATCTTCGTCTCCGGCCTTCGAGACCTGGTCTCCACTTTGGTCTGTCGACCCTTTGGTGTCGCCTTGGCTCAAAGCTCCCTCATCTCCATTGTGGCCCATCAGTCCACCAACTACGCCAGGCTTCTTTGCTCCACCTTGGTCATTCGTCGACCTGCCCTCGCCTCAGAACTACACTCCTCCGGCTTCGCCCCATCCCTCCAGCTCTGTTGGGCTCCTCTCTCCCTCCTGCTCTGCCTTGGTCCTTGGTCGCTCCGTCTCCACCGCGGCCTTCTGGAACCACATCTTCGCCTCGGTCGCCAGAGCCGTCGGCTCCACCATGGCCCTCTGATCCCTCAGTGTCACCCTGGCTCTTCGGCTCTCCGTCTTCGCCTTGGGCCCCCCGTCCACCGGCTCCGTTTCTGTCAGTCGGACCCCTGAGCCCTCCTGTTTCACTCCCCTCATGGTTCCTCCCATCAACTCCACCGTGGACTGTGAGTTGTTATCGTAATTCTGTTTGGAGCATCTGGAATCTGCTCTTAGTGGGGGGGGCTCTGTCACGATAAGAGGTTTTGTCTTGATTCTCTCCAGACTCCATTCCCCATAAACCCCTGCCAAGGAACTCATTATTGCACCACACCTGTTTCCTACCAGTGACACTATAAAGGTTGCACTCATCCACACTCACATTGCTGATTATTGTTTAGCCTGTACCCTGTTCCGAGTCTCTGTGTTTTCTTGCCTTGCCTTGTTTTTTGACCTTGGACTGTTTATTGGATTGCGCTTTTGTCTTGCCCTGGATTGTACCTGTTTGCTGGTGTTTGACCCTGCCTGTTTTGACCACTCTTGTGAATAAAAGCTGCATTTGGATCCTCAACTCCGTTGTCACGCCTCCCGCATTACAATTATAATGGGAGCAATCTAGTTTTGTCAGACACTGACACTTACTGACACACTGATGTATTTTCCATATCGCATGCAAGCAGTCATTAAGCATATGCTTTTATCCAAATCAGCTTACAGTACACTAATCATCAACCTGCAGCAGATTGTGTGCTTCACCAGAACACAAGCAGACAAAAATAGCATTTCTGATAAATATCAGAGAACAGATTCTAATTCACAATTTAAAGACTAAATGTTTTAATCTCACAAAAACTGTAAATAATCTTTAGGTTCAAGCAAAATCAATATAGCAACATTGTTGCAATAAAATGGAGTTTAAGATGAGGCTATTACACACATAACCTTTGGTTGTAATGTTTGGTTGTAACCTTTGAAGATAATGTTTTTTATTACGTAACAAAGAAGTAAGTCAAATCATCTTTTCCTCCACATAAACCCTGCTCACACACTCCAACACACACAGGGTCCACTGATGTTGTGTTTCTCTCCTCACTATGTGTGCGTGCGGTCGGTGGCACTAATTAATTGAGCGGCAGGAGAAGAGAGTGATTTGATCTGCTATAAAATATCTGCTGTGTTTCTCTAATCGCCCCACAGCTCCAACCTGTAATGCCATCCAGTCCCTGCCACCATCCCTTCCCCTTCAAAACCACCTTAGCCTGAAGAGACACTTCCACTGATGCGCATACACTCATCACACACACACACACACACACACTGAAGCCTTCGGCATGAAAACACCCTGGCAACATACAGTTCTCACATAAATACATACAGTATCTGCACACAAGCGTAGATGGGTATTTAACACGACATGTCCGTCCATCCGTCCTTCCGTTCATCTATTTATCTATGTAATTTAACTGTGCACTAAAATAATGGACATTTAAAATGGAAAAATTAATAAAAACTGTGTTTAATTTAAAAAAATTAATTTTAAGACGACATATTAAAGAAAAATATGATAATAAAAGTGAAAAGATAGTTAACTTTAAAATAAAATGAAAACAAAATAAAAAAAATATATAAAAACTGGTAACACTTCATTTTGATAGTCCACTATAGACATTCTACTAACTATTAGTAACGTTGTAACTACATGTCAACTACCAGTCGTTAGAGTATTATATTTTTATTATGTCTGTTCATTATCTGCTAACACTTTATTTTGACTAACTATACTAAGTATAATTTTGCAAGTACATGTCAGCTTATTCTACTAACCCTAACCCAACAGTTATCTACTGTTACTGTTAGTATCTACTAATACTCTTAAGAGTAAACATGCAGACATGTAGTTGCAAAGTGAACAATCCAAATAAAGTGTAACCTAAAAACTAATTCAAAATATGAATACAAATGATACTGGTACAATTATCGTCCACCTGCACAGATTGTGTGCTTTACAGTAACAGTGGTATAATTTATGATAAATAACAGATTCTGACTCAAAATTGAAAGACTATATGTTTGAATCTCACAAAAACTGTTGAGGAATATTTGGATCTCGCAAAAATTACTTAAACTTTAAAACTGTTTTCTGATTTTAAACAAATCTAAAATAAATACGAATTCAAAATATAAAAAATTAGGATACTCAATGTATAGAGAGATAGACAGAGAGAGAGACCTACAAAGGGATAACACAGCTACCAGCAGTTAAGGACATCTACACTACGCGCTGCCTCAGAAAGACAAAGCACATCAGGAACGACTACAGTCACCTGACACAGGGACTTTTTTCCTTTCTGCTCTCTGACAAATGACTCAGGACTATTTGAACACACACCATGAAATTCAGGAATAGTTTCTACCCCAGTGCTGTATGGCATTTCAATACACATTACTGTGTAATAACAATGATGATACTAAACATTTCATGTCATAATGTCAACATAAATGTCACTTTTGCAATTTGTCATCATCTTATTGTCGTCAATAATGTGTCTTATTTTTTGTATATATGTTTATTTGTGTGTGCATAGCATGCTTTTTTGCCTTTTTTTTCTCCACTCCTGTCACCTATGGAGTTTTGGTTCCTTGCAACTGTCGCTTGCTTAGTTGGGGACACAATTTCTGGCAATATTGTTGACTTGATTGCACAGACACTATTTGAAAATACTGAACTGAGCTGGATGTTGACATCACTGAATCAATGATGAACTGACTTGAACTGAAAAAACTGACTGCTTTCTATTGTCCTCTTGCATTATCACACGTTTTCCTGTTTAACACTGTAAAGCTGCTTTGACACAATCTGTATTGTATAAAGCACTATATAAATAAAGGTGACTTGACTTGACCATTCTATCTTGTCCATAGTCTGTGGAGAAGCATTTAAGAAAGTTTTCCATTGTACTTTGTACACTGTGGTTGTACACATGGCAATAAGTAAATGACTGACAAATGACTAAATATTTGACCTTTTAAGTTTTTAATTGTGACATCTATTGAAGTTTACTGAAAAAAAGAAAACGTTGAGTAAAAATAGTGAAAAACTTGATGACCAATTACAGAGCCTAATCTATTTCATTTTGACCTGAAATTTTGAAGCTCTTAAAAACAGAAAGTTCATGTCCATGTTATTTGTCAGCTATCCTGATACACATAACTAGAGGTAGGTGTGGAAAAATGTGTTGCAATATTCTGCAACAGCTGTGCAAGATCTTGTCTAGTGGCTGACAATGTTTTTATGTAATCCATTACAATTAGAACTGCTGTGTGTTTTCCACATAACAACAGAAATGTCAGTTATGGTAGATAATCCATAACAGACTCTGACATGATATCTCATGTACTTCTAAGAGTTAGCTGACCACAACAGCACAGTTAAAGACTTATTTAAAGAGTCCATTTATTTTTACATGGTCCCAATTAGGCCTACACAAAAATGCTGTTAAGAGCGCTTGTCCGCTGCTTATCCCGATTCAAACCCCTGCTGTTCTGGAATGTGTGAGCGACACCTTTCCTGCTGCGAAGTTTAAATAAAAATACAGACCTGTGGCTGGAGGCATTTTGTCTCCTGCAGCACCCTGCCAGCTCTGTCCATGTGTCCATTTGACAACAGATACGTCCAATCGCTCTTTGCCACCTGGGCAAATCGGCACCTTGTCACTTAGGAAATGACAATTTGATTCCCAGTCAAACTCCAGAGCCCATTGTGAGTCTGGATTCGACAGTCTTTTCCTCACGGCCGATAGAAAAAAAAAAAAAAAACATGTGCAGATCAATTTTGGAGTGAACTGTGGACAGGTCCATAGGCTGTTTGATGACTGTAGTGTAATCGGGAACCTGTCCCCGCACAAAAAAAAAACACACACACACATATATATATATATATATATATATATATATATATATAGTAATAATACCAACACAGCAACCAGTGCAGTGACAGACAGTGGAAAATTGATGAAGATATGGAGTGTATAATGATAGCAATCTGATTTGCATCTGGATGATGACATCACTGATTTTCTGATTTTCAATGATGAACTGCCTTTAACTGAAAATTGAGTGTTTACTATTATCATTTTGTATTATTGACACAATATTTTCCTAATTAATGCTGTACAGTTGCTGTGCCACAATCTGTATTGTTAAAAGCGCTATGTAAATAAAGTTGACTTGACTTGACTTGATTTGTGATAGGGTTGCGGTAACAATATACAGTATATAGATGCTATCATACCTCTGGCTGATAAGCACTGATCATAGAGCATTACACTTTCTGGCATACTGTTAAAACCTGTATTGCATAAGTGGCTGGTGCTCTAAAAGATAGACTGGTGTGTTGACTGAGATTACTGAAAATCTGGCTTTAAAATCTTGAAATAAACTTTGAGGGAATTCACTAAATGGCCAATTTGGTTATTTCAGCCTACCAAAGCACTAAATGCCCTAAAATGTTGTGTTTAAATTATTATTTTTGACACTCACTATTTCTTATTAAGAATTATAAGTGCATGTAATTCCAAAAATAACAATGAGTCATAATCAAGTTTGTAAAATGTAATCAAAATGTAATAACTTGCTCTTCCCCTGAAATGACTTTTCATTCCAGCTGACATCATCATGATGGCATTGGGCGTAAGCAGAATGTATGAAAATTTACAAATTAGATTTTATTCACAAAAATTAGCCACCAATTTGCCAAAACTTACAATATTTATGAATGGAGTGTGCTGCACTGTAAAAAAATTAAATAATAATAAATAAATAAATCTGTTTTGACATTGACAGTAAAATAACGGCAGCTGTGGTTGCCAGATCTTTACTGTAAAAAATTTGGTAGCACCATTTTAGTTTTTATAGAATTAACTTAAATTCAAAGTAAAAAATGTCTCCGTTACATATGGCAACCCTCGTTCCCTGATGTAGGGAACAGAGATGTAGTGTCGAAGTTCTGACACTAGGGGTCAGACTTGGGAGCCCAGACACCTCTGACACGATTGAGAAAAGGCCAATGAAATTGGCGAGCAAAATTTTCATAGCTGGCCATGCCCTGGACATGCGGGTATACAGTAAATAGGCCAACATGGCATTTGCTCACTCGTTTTGTTCTGAGGATTCGAAAAGCATCTCAACCCACTTGGAAGTAGTTTAGAGTTGTGGCATAAGGGACACAACATTTTTGTTCCCCCCATCAGGGGTATGAGGGTTACCATACATAATCGAGACGTTCCCTTTCCGTTGGTCACTTCGACGTTGTGTCAAGTTCCAACACTAGGGATCCCTATTCTAAATGCCACAGCTGCTGAACTGT